GCACTCTACTCAGGGGGACAGCTTGAGGCTCAGTATCAAAAAAAAAAAAAAAGAACTCTCTTTCAAACACTTTTTTCTGGGTGATAATGGTAGGATATTGTAATGAATAAGCATTGCCCTATTCACCATAGTCAGTTCTTTCACTGACGCAATGAATTCAGGGGGCAGAAATATCAGATCAAATGGCTGCAACACCACAGATCAGGTAGCAAGTAGAGGAATGGCTCCCACAAGAACTTGTGTTATAATGGTAGGAAATGTCCAGAGTCTTTTTTGATCTCCCTGATTCTTTTACAACAATATTTCTAGGTTTTATCAGGAGTGTTGGTTCAGATTCTTCAACATTAGCCTCAGCAGGGTTTGCAAAATCAGATTTTCTACCTTTACTAATGACCTTTTCTTCATACTCTTCAAGAAGCATTTTGACTTTTCAATTAAAAAAATTTGCAAATCCTAGATAGTTAATCAGACGACCACATCACAGTTAATCAAACAGGTGGTCCAGATGCTTATCTAAATGCAAGATGGCTTGCTCCCAAGCTTCCTGGAGGGAGGCTTTATTTATCATCCCATCTCTGCTTCTTATCATAGTGCCTGAAGGCTGCCAACAAAGTGTCAGAGTTTTGGTAAGTAATTTTCTTCAAGGGATGTGAAACTGCTGTAATCAGGGCTCAGTCTATCCTTACCTGGAAAATATTCACCCAAGAGTCTATTATGGATGAGATCACTAACTCCATACTCCTCAGGACAGAGATAAACTCCAAATGCATGGTCTGGGGAAACATTCATTGTTTCTGCAACGGGACCTAAAACTCTTCCAAGTTTATGTTGAAAATTTTCTTTGGAATCATCACCTCTCTTAGATACAACCTTAGTTCCTCTTTTCATCTATAGTTTATGATGGGAATACAAAGCTTTTGCCATCGTTTGCCCATCATTAAAATGTGGTGTTAGGACTCCATGTAAGTTAAATCTATGGAAACCTGATGCATTTTAGTTTTGATTCTTTGCTTCTCCCACATAAAAATCACTATGCAGGACTTTCCATCTTTGGTGGCAGTATCTTCTTACCAGTATTATACCATCATACTACCTCATTAAATAAATGAGTGAAAAAAATGTAGAACTCAAAATTTGTACAAATTTTGAGAACATGAAATATTTTTATTAAGCTTATTGAAGAAAAAGAAAACACCAGAAATTTGAATTTATTTTCTTGGTTTAAAAACAAACAAAAAACCCCACATTCTATATGGCTGATTTAGTTTTTGAATAATTTAGCATGTCAAATATTTAAATGATATATTTTTCAGATAAATATTCACTAATTAAACTGCTATTCATGTTTGTAACTCTTCAGGGGAGTAGCTAGCCTCAAAGTAGTGGTTTTTAAGCAATCTACACCATTTAGTTACTGCCAGGTTTTAAGATTGCTAATAGCAAGCCAAAGAGAACAGTTTTCTGGTAGTGTCATACATTTTTTTTTTTTTTTTCAGACGGAGCCTCAAGCTATCCCCCTGGGTAGAGTGCTGTGGCATCACAGCTCACAGCAACCTCCAAATCCTGGGCTCAAGCGAGTCTCCTGCCTCAGCCTCTCAAGTAGCTGGGACTACAGGCGCCCACCACAATGCCTGGCCATTTTTTGGTTGCAGCCATCATTGCTGCTTGGCGGGCCCAGGCTGGGGATTCAAACCCGCCACCTTAGGTGTATGTGGCTGGCGCCTTAGCCGCTTGAGCCATAGGTGCCAAGCCAGTGTCATACATTTCAAAAAGAAACTAACAAATATTTTATTTCTAATTTCTATATATGAATATAGATGCTGGTATCAACTTTTACACTAATCTTTGAATGCTTACTCATACTTTTTGTTGTTAATCAGGCCCAAACGAGGTTTGAACCCACTATGTGTATGTGTGGGGGCCAACCACTGAAGAAAAACATCAAACAACTTCTTAAACAAATCAAGTATAAAAACAATTTGAAGACATCTTTCTTTTCATGTACAATGGCATGCCCTCTGAAGGCAATAGACATTTGTTCCTCCATTTCACCAAGACTTGGCCAAAGAATATGAAAATTATAACTAATTTTTGAAGGAATTTTTTTTTTTTTTTTGAGACAGAGTCTCACTCTGTTGCCCTGGGTAGAGTGCTGTGGCATCATAGCTTACATAGCCTCAATCTCTTGGACTTGAGCAATCCTCTTGCCTCAGCCTCCTAACTAGCTGGGACTACAGGCATGTGCCACAATGCTTGGTTAGCTTTTCAATTTTTAGTAGAGATGGGGTCTCCCTCTTGGTCAAGCTGGTCTTGAACTCCTGAGGCTCAAGCAATCCACAAACCGAGGCCTCCCAGAGTGCTAGGATTATAGGCATGAGCCACTGTGCCCAGGCTTTGACAGGAATTTTTGATAGGAAGTATTTTATATGAAAATATCAGGTACTTCCAAAAACCATTCTGAAGCAGACAAGCTATCAATAATGAAAAGTAATTTTGTACATTACTTGACTAGCATCTACTTCTTCTTTCTCTTTCTAATAAGGCCCAAACTTTCTTCTATCTACCAACTTTTCCCTTAGGATATCTACATCTGAGAAAGCTGACCTCAGCCCCAGCAGCAGGAATGATTTTGTCTGGCTTAAGATAGGCAATGTTTCATTTCACCAGCCACAATGATTTATTTTGGGGGGAGCTGCATATGATCCAACATGATTTTTTATTTATTTTATTTATTTTTTAATTTTTTGAGATAGAGTCTCACTTTGTCACCCTTAGTAGACTGCCATGGCATCACAGCTCACAGTAACATTTAACTCTAAGGCTTAAGCAATTCTCTTGCCTCAGCCTCCCAAGTAGCTGGGATTACAGGTGTCCACCACAATGCCTGGCTATTTTTTTTGTTGCAGTTGTCATTGTTGTTTAGCAGGCCCAGGCTGGGTTCAAACCTGCCTGCATTGGTATCCGTGGCTGGGGCCCTACCCACTGAGCTATGGGCACCACCATGACCTAACATAATCTTAAAAAGAATTCCATGCTTATTACTTGGAATGCTGTCATAGGCATATGAACTTGGAAGCAGTGCTTATACTCTCCCTCTATCATATCCTACCAACAACTTTTCATAAGGCTTCAAATTCTTTAGAAATTGTATATTTTAAAAATTTACAATTTTTAGCCACAAGATCGAAGAAAACAATTGGTAACACTTTAACTATAAATTGTAGTCCACAAAATAAAAGGTTGTGGGAGTTAGTGAAATTAGAAAAAAACTAACATCACTCAATAGAACTAAAACAGAAATGACTCACCACGGTGGAAAGTGACTGGCTGAGGACGGCATATAGCTATAAAAAGAAAGTCACATACAACATGAATGAAGATGTTATTACTGTTTACTATATATAGAATTCTCCATGACAGGTGAAACTTTTTAATAGTTTCTTCTTCTAACAAGTAAAGACAGTAAACTAAAATAACAATAAAATGTCAGCCTTATAAATGCAAATGTCCTATCTTTCCACAAATCTTTGACTTTTATCTAAGAAATGGTTATCCATGCTTTAGAGGCACCAAATAAAAATTATATAATTTGGCAAACTATGAGGACAATATTCTATCTATTCTTGCCCCTCTGAGAAGATTCAAGAAACACTTTGGCCTAATAATATAGGTGGTTTGCTTCTATGCCCTCCACAACACTCAACTTAGTGGTCCATCCTCACCAATGACAATAGCTTTTGAAGTTTTTGATGCAGTGATTAAAGGAAGCAAGGTAAATTTCCCTTAAATTCTATAGGAATAGTAGCTAAACCTGATCTATAGCAACTGAGGAGAGTTAGGAGGGCTTTGCTACACATGCCCTCTACCCCAAACATCTAAATCACTACTGTTTAAAATATTTAAGTTTAGTATAAGTGGCTGTAGGTATGACTGAAAAGTCAGTTTTGTGATGATGTTTTTCTATACTAGGAACATAAATACAATTATTACTAGGTGTGCTTTTAGGTCTTAGATACAAATTCTTACCTATAAGGGACATGCACAGCTCCTTGTCAATGTGTCCATCTTCAGTCAATGCCCCAAACACCAAACCATCAGCACCATAGAGCTTGGCAAGACGAATGTCAGCCTTCATCACCTCAATTTCACGATCTGAATATAAAAAATCACCTCCACGTGGTCGAATCATCACAAAAACCGGGATCTGGACACTCTGCTTCACTACTTGAAGGACACCTATAAGAACAGAAAGCAGACTAAAATTGAAATATGAACTAAAAGCTCAAGGAAGTCAATAAAATACTACTGATCATTAATTATAAAGAATAAGTATCTATGTATGTATTTATATTTATTTGAGACTGGGTCTTGTGCTGTCACTCATGCTATAGTGCAGTGACTGATCATATTTCCCTGCAAACTCCTGGGCTCAAGCTGTCCTCCAGTCTTAGCCCCCAAGTAGCCAAGACTACAAAAGTGCACCACCATAACCAGTCAATTAAAAAATAATTTTTTTAAAAGATGAGGTCTTGCTACATTGCCTGTATTCAAACTCCTGGCCTCAAGTGAGCCTCCCACCTCTATCTCCCAAAGACCTGGGGTTACAGGCACAAGTCACCACACCCAGCCAAAAAGCAATTCAGAAAATAGAAGATAATGCTATTTAAAAGCATCTTTCAGTTGACTCAACAAAAAATCCTTACAATTCAGAAATCTTTTACTGGTATGTGACATTTGAAAGAGTAATAACTACCAGGTTCAATGTTCTTCCAGTGTACTATTCTCAAAATCCAGTTTCTTCTTTCTGATTATAGCTCTAGTTAAAGCCTACTATAGACATGGCTAAATAGTTCCAGAGTTTATGTATTTTTAATAGCCAAAGAAATTTAGCAAAACCCTTTTTGAAAAAGCTATGTGAAAGGGAGCAAAGTCCTACTTCTTTGCTATTTTATGTAAAAACCTAGGAATAAAAGTATGCAAATATGACACAACCACATAGCTAACTCAGAAACATACAAGCCCTGTGACAAGCACCATTAGTTGTTTACCCAATATAAATTTGTTTTTGTCTTTGCCAAGAGAACCCCAATTTTGCAGCGGATGGTAGTATGCCCAAACCAAGTAATTAATCATGATTGATGATGCTAAAAGTAGACTGTACTCAAATTTACAGATATGTTCTAGAGATTTTAGAATGGACAGAAATGCCCTCCTTCAGTGTGAAAATTCCAAAGGCCTACTGCACATACAAACATTTTATACTAAATGATGGTATCTTCAACCTCGGAATAGCATAACTTAGGAGTCAAACGCTTATACAAGGACTTCTGCTTTTGGCCAAGACAGCATCAACAGTGACTGGATTTACCCTCCCGCCTATAATAGCCAAAAAAAGCCAGACAAACTACATGAAACAATGGTTTATAAGACATTAGACATCAAGTAATGGAGGACAAAGATCCTTGAAAGATGGGAAACAAATGAGGTGAGCTCTACAATTGACCCAGTTTGCTCCCCTGACAATTTACAGGCTACAGCCCAGAAAAGAAGAACCCAGGTAGAGTCCAGAAAATTTCCTAAGTTGCAGAGACAAAGTTTAGAGTTCAGGGAAACCAAGGCAGCTAAAGTTTGCAGACAGCATAGAGAGGGAAGAGAACTCTGGAGATCTATAGAGAACACCCTTTAATATTCAGCTGAATACTGACTATGCATGCATGGAAAGGTGGCTTGGTGTCCCTTGGTTAGTGGTTAGGGCACAAGCATCGTACACAGGGCTAGTGGGTTCAAACCCAGCCCGGGGCTGCTTAAAACTAACAAATAAACAAATAGCCAGGCATTGTGGCAGGTGCCTGTAGTCCTAACTACTAAAGAGGCTGAGGCAAGAAAATAGCTTGAGCCCAAGTTTGAGGTTCCTGTGAGCTATAACGCCATAGCACTCTACCAAGGGCAACAAAATGAGACTGTCTCAATTTAAAAAAGAAATTACACAAGGCCTGGGAAAGAACCACTGAAGAAGATTAGAAATAATGTGCTTGTCATTCACACTGTGCCAAGAATAATGCCTGTTTCCATTAGTCAGATAGGAAAACTTCAAGATTCATGGGCACTAGGTACAGTGCACAGAAGGGTTTTGCCTAATAGTGGGGAATAATTAGCTCCAGATTTGTCTAACAAATCTTAACAAGAAGACCCAAAAGGACCAAACTGTTTCCAAGTAACCTACAATTCAAAGAGTATTTATAAGAATATAAAAATATCCGCTGTTTTATAAAGTAAAATTAAAATCCAGGTAGAGGCTCAGTGCCCGTAGCTCAGTGGGTAGGGCACCCAACACATACACCAAGGCAGGTAGGTTCGACCTCCGCCCAGGCCTGCTAAACAACAATGACAACTGCAACAACAACAACAACAAAAAGAAATAGCCAGGTGCTGTGGTAGGCCCCTGTAGTCCCAGCTATTTGGGAGGCTGAGGCAACAGAATCACTTGAGCCCAAGAGTCTGATGTTGCTGTGAGCTGTGACGTTATAGCACTCTATTAAGGGTGACATAGTGAGACTCTGTCTCAAAAATAAATAAATAAGTAAAATAAAATCCAGGTAGAAAAGTAAGATACATCATTAGGTATTAAATCAATCAAGTGAAACAAACCAAGAACAGATACAGATGTTAAAATTAGCAGAGAAGGTCTTTAAAACAGCTATTATTACTTTATTCCATATGTTCAAAAAAGTTAAGAAGAAGCACTAGAGAGAAAAAGAGTAGCTCATTAGTGACAATTTCGAATAGTTTAATATAAGAAAAACTAAAGTCTCTGAAGGAAGGAGTAGTGAACATAGAATACTGAAAAAATTCCAAACATGATAAAAAGTATAAATGTGCACATGAAGAAACATAAAGAAAACTACACCAAGGAACAGCATAACCAGAAATAAAAAAAAAAA